CCCCAAAACCCCAAAACCCCAAAACCCCAAAACCCCTTCTTAGCTGCATTTAATTGAAAATAGTTCTATAGAAACATATCAATCATGATAAGCTACTAAATATCTTCGAATCTGATCTTGTAGAAGTTCTTCTCGTTATGGAAGGAGATGGGGAAGCCCACACTATTCCATCCTTTCTCCTTTTCAAGGACTTTCTTTGCTTCAGATCTGTTCCTAGGTCTCTTGGCTTGTTTCAGGGAATGTTTTCCTAGAGTGTACTTCTCGTGGTGATCCCTCAAGAATGGAATCATTCCGTTGTGTTCTATCGATCTACAGGGTTATTAGGGAGACCTACTTTCCCACATCTTTGTGAATTGTGTACTTGTTGCTGTAATCCTGTTGCAGAATGTGGCGGGTAGCAGTCGGCTTGTGGGTAGAAATATTGTGAGCACCTCCAATATCTCCTACACCTTTATTTAGTTGCAACTGTGATGTGCCCTTTGTAACCAACCGGCTTGTCAAAGTATTCCTTGTAGGCATTGTGCACCTGTAGGTTGTTCTTTGAGGATGTGACAGAGAAGTTGTCAACCCAGTTTAGCTCCCCTTGGAAGTCCCTTTCTTTGTATACTTTGGAGTATCTTGGAATCCGAGACTTCTGTTCGTTGGTCAGGTAAGGGTCTACGAATTTCTTTGGCTTCAAGACGTTTGGCTCAGTGCTTCTCGAAGGTTTGCTAAAGAACTCCTTATAGAAAGTATGTGCCTTCTTGTTGTGCGTAGATGGTGACATATGGAATCTATCATTCCATCCTGAGGATAGCTTACTAAAGCGATGAGAACCAGGCCCTCCCCTCTCGGTGCTCCTATTGTGAAGAGTGTTGCGTGGATGGAAACTTCCCTGAGTTTTGGCATATTTTGGGACAGTGGTCCCTCCAGGGGATTTCTCGTACACATTTTTATGCTCCATCGTCCTCATGTATTCCTCATTTGTCTGCCTCTTAGGAGTTTGCATTGGATCAGCTTTTTCCTGCTCCTCAATCGGCATATGCTGGTCTAAAGAGTCCTTGGGCTCATCATGTTGGCTTTGACCATCCATTTCTTGTGGTTGATTTGCTTTGTCTGAGTTTTCAGCTTGGCTCATAATTAAAATAATCAATTTTATTTTTCCGGGAAGGGGTTTTGGGGTTTTGGGGTTTTGGGGTTTTGGGG